TTTTTTTTTTTTTTTTTTTTTTGGTGAAAATTGATTAAACCTTAGTCTCTTCTTCTTCCTTACATTGTATCAATTGCGTTTGTGTTTGCGTCCTTGTTATCTCTCTAGGCGATCTAGCTGGGGAGGAACAAGGCGAGGACGAGATTCCGACACCCATCAATGCGAGGCAACCTTCGCTCCAAGACCGCCTAATAGGATATGACAAGCTTCTATATTTTGACATATGCGAGCAATTTTGACGCGATTTATGTAGTTGGCACCTGCAATTTTTATGATATGGCCTTCTCTGGATTCCCATATCGCTGCCTGAAATGCACCCTTCAAATACACCCCGGAGAAGTCCATCTCCAGCTGCACCTGTGGCCATTAATTTCTACCCTAGATATGTTTGTGTAATATATTTTCTTAGCTAGAGTATGGTGGAAATGGCCCAAAAATAGCCCATATTTTGTGTTTAAATATCAAGACAAAGATGGTTGGTAACTTATCATTAGCGAGCGCCATATGCGGCAATGTGGGTGTTTCTTAAAGTTTTAAACCACTAAAATATCATCCTTGTACAAACTACATGTCCTAGACCCAAGGAGAGAGAAGAAAGGCAAATAAGTACTTGAGAGAAGAAAATAAGGTTGGATTTAAAATTAATTGAGAAAGAGCAGCAAAAGTCTGCATTTGGAGCATAAGCCTATCATTTGCTAGTTTTGGCTCACTCTCAAAGGTAAATCTAAAATAAGACAACTTCGTAAACCTCTGTCTATTGATGATTTTGTCTTATTTCTAACAAATATGTCTGTTTCCATAGTTTCTGTTATCGTCGGGTAATATCACTTATTCCATAAGGGTCTCAAAAATCTCACGAAGAAGCTGAGCCCTAAACTGTGATGCAGTCAAAGGCAAAAATAATCTACAACAAAAAATACGTCTAAATAAGACAAATGCGTCAACGTTTCTCTATGTCATATTGGTGTCTTATTCTGCTAGTTGTGTCGACAAATCCATCTATTATTGCAGTTTTGCTTTATCGTTGTGTAACATCACTTCCTCCAATGGATATATTCTCACGTTGTATCCAAAATGATGCAAATCAGAAAAAAAATATGGATAACGAAGAACACACCTAAAAATGCGTTGATTCAGAGAATACCATTGAATTCAAGAAATCTAGAATTCTTTGATTCACAAGAGAATGTCGAATAATTGACAATATTTTGAGGAAATTCGCTTCATCGATATATAACCAAGAACCGTATGGCGAAATTGGACAATTTAAGGTGACAATGGCACTCACCCAAGCACAAGTGTTCTCTTTAATCCCCAAAATGAAAAATAGGCGCAGAGTGCTTATTAGAAGCAGACAGCCCTGCACACCAAGATGAAGAGCCTGAAAATACTCGACTCTTATCTTTTACACCAGTGTAGTTAATTTTTTCCAACCGGGAGTAGGGCTGGGCAAAATGTCCGAACCGAACCGAACCGGAACCGAACCGAA